TCATTCTTACATCTGGTAGTATGAGCAATATAGTTGAGGATAGCTATATGTAACATAACAATCACTGTTGATTCGCAGTATTTTGTCTTTAGACCCTGTATCACTCTGAATGTTCTTGCTCTGATTTGTATGTTCGTGATACTGGTATGCTGCTACTGTTCTATTTTTTAAGTTTGCTTCTCATTTACTCCTCTACTTAAAATAAAATAAAAAAAAAAATTACACCTCCACCTGGCCAACACATCTAAGACTGTGTACTGTTCTTTAATTTTTGTCATGCAGTTACATCCTATAAACCTGTTCTAAAAATCTAAATTCTCCTTTAAGACCAAAATGTATTTTGAAATAGGAGGAAAATGTTCAAATAGGGAGGGGAAAAAGAGGGGAGCGGGAAAGGAAAGAAGGGAAAGGTAAAAAAAAATTAGAAAAAAGGAAAACATGGAAACAAAGCTTTATAAATGGGGAATGGAGGATGGGCTGAAAGGAGGATAGGGGAATGGGCAAAGAATGAAGTTAAATATGTGCTCCTAAAAAATAAATAAATAAATAAATTCTCCCTTAAGTGTAAAAACTAAATAAACATATACCAAGATTTCTATATATAGTTGTGACAGTAATTATTGCAGTCTCACAATGTATGAAATGTATTATGTTTCCCCAATGTACAGGCCTTCCAAGATATAAAGCTAAAATATATCTTATTATACTAGTGATTTCCTGACTAAAGTTGTTTGTGGAGGTAAAAAATTTATAAATATATAACTGTTATACATAACATGTAATTTATAGATTCTAAGTGACATTTCCAGACCTTTAAACCCTCTACGAGTTCCCTGCTTATGTCTCAGGTTCTGAGATATAAGAATCTTTAGGGTAAAATTTTGAGTAGAAGTCCAGCACTCCTTTGCCCTGACTTCCTGATCTATTAATAAAAATTAAAATAGCTATATGCTGAGGACAAAGATGTTAGCAAGAAGTTCATTTTAATTGACACAGGTCTCACTTTAACTGGTCTTAAACATGACAAAAAAGTATAACCAACAAGAAATAAAAATTCACAATAAATTTTGGATACACAAAGGGATTCGAAGTACTATACTGACCCCTGCTGACAGTCTGTAGCTACACCTGTAGCTTGTTGCTATTGTGGTTCAGAGGCTAAAAAGCCAGCAACAGCTACACAGGTTGAACAAAAATCTTTAAATTCCAAGAATTATCCTTTAAAAGCACAGGGCCCTGAATTCTTATGGTCAAAACTAAAAACCATATATGCTTGTAAATAAAAGTTTTTAAATGAAAAGGTCTTTAAAAAAAAATCAGACTAATAATCTAAAAAATATTCCACACCCTGCAATGTTGCTTTTCTGCCAGCCAATCTAAAATAGTGGGAGATACTGAGCATATTTAGATATACATAATAATCACATTCATCATAGGGAATTTGTACCTGTATATAATATAGCTTGATTCTCTTTTTCCACGAACACCCCCCTCCACCGCCAACAGTGGTGACCTTAACTGCAGGAGGAGTGTGAGGGTGTCTATTACTGGCTGGTTTTTTTGCTGACAGGGCGTGCTGGCAAGGCAGCAGTCAGGGTCCACCACTGGAAGTCTATTTAAGGGTCTTGAAGTCAGGAGTGTGGGTTGGAAAATTTTTGTTATTACCATCTGCAGCTTTAAAGCTGTATGTTTCACTCAGATTTTATCAACCACAGATTGAAAATAACTAAAAAAACTTGTCTCTGTAGTGAACATATGCAAACTTCTTTTTGTCAGTGTCTTTACAATACAGTGACAATGTTTTATATAGCATTTTCATTGCCTTAGGTATTATAAGTAGTTTAGTGATGGTTTAAAGTATATAGGAAGAGATGTACAGGTTATGTGCAAATACTGTATCACTTTATGTAAGAGACATGAGCACCTGGAAATTTTAGTATCTGCCGGAATCTTTGAACTGGTCACCCTTGGATACTGAGGTACTTACAGTTAAAAACTTGCCAGGTACCATACAGTTAACCATAGGGTGGTGCTCAGACGCCAACTGAGGCAGTCTGATTTTAAAGAGTTTTATGTCACCACTGTTGGGGGGAGGTGTTTGAGCCCAATAAACAAAGTGACAAAGAGCAAAAGCCTGAACAAACTAAGTAAAAACAAAGTGAAATAACTCTCAAGAAAAATGAATGCAGAAGACCAAGAACTAATGAAATCTGCTGGCGAAAGGCAATCTGGAGAAGTAGCAACAAACAGCAACAAGCCTGCACTTTTACACATCCTCTGCTTCTGTCTGCCCTCTAAGGAGCTGTATTATAAGCTTTTGAAATCAGGCGCTCTCTTGGCATCTTTGCCCCCTTGTACTTAGCGAGGGTTTTTCTTTGTTCTAATAAACCACACCATACACCATTCTCTACTGCTTGCTGTTCTGCTGTGTCCTTTTTCCTTGTCTCAAAACAATGGAGAGAATTAGTTACAAAAGCAACTGCAGGTGAGACTGAGTCTATGCATTTTGAAGTTACCCGTTGCTTTGTAAAACAGAACATTTGTTAATGAAATTACAAGGCAAAGAAGCAGGATCAAGTTGTCCATTCCTGTTTAGGGTCAAAAAATTGATGGAACTTTGATTTGAAGTAGCTGAAGAAATTTACGTAACTTCTAAATAGGAGGAAGTTTTATGGCCAAGAAGTCCTATAGAACTAGAAAAGCCAGGAAAAAAGAAAGCAAAACAAACAAAACGGAACAATTTAAATAGTCATAAGACTACCGCCTGGATGACTGCATAACATCAAATTATGGAACAACATGCCACTAGCCAAATTTGTTTTTCTTAAAGACTAAATCTAGGGGAATGATGCCATACTAATTGTAAAATACAAGAAATATTCCTTTTCATTTAGAAATGGCAGAACGTTACGTGATTATCTGCATATTGGGATAGTTATGATTTTTTTCTTGTCCTATCTCTCCCAGTTTTCTAAAAAGAAAGTGTTAGATAACCAGAAAAATGTTAAAAGTTCAGAACACGAGGAAAGTTTCTTACGCTACTTTAAACATGCTATGTAAAATCATTTTTATTATGAATTGCTTAATAATTTTAGGTTTTATGTAAGCATACATAAGTGAGCTTATAGAAGCTTCAACAAAGTAAATGAACTGATAATCCTTTCATATAGCAATTATTGTATTTTTTTAAATATAATTATTGTGACCGATTATGGTATCTCAGAAAACAAGTTAGCAAACCTAGCCTTTTGCTTTCAAAGAAACATACTATAAGCCAATGATGTCCTCCAGAGTTACTGATGGTTGTAGCTTACCATCCCAGTTGGCTAAATTTACCAGAACTGTTGTTTCAGGAGAGAGGTATTCTCTTATTTCAGTACTGGAGTCTAGAGCCATGTTATTCAAAGCATCACCAGCACTACTTATGAGGTTTCATCAGAACCAGTTCCAGACCAACATTAGAATCTGCCTGTAGATTCCCCAAAGACTCATATACACTTACATTCCAAGAAATGCTGCTGCTCTAGACTTACAAAGGTGTGATCTCCTGGTTTTTGCAGTTACAGTACTTCTCCAGTTGTAACCATAAGTGTTTCCACACTGACTTCTCCATGTTTGATTTCATCTTGCTCTTGTATGGGAAGCATGATGATCAAATCCTGTACATAAAGTTTAAATATTTTCATGCTAAATCCCTCTTTCACAGAGTAAAAGCAGAAGGGATGCATTTAATCAGCAGTAATGTCTAAACTCAGTGCTTCTGATACTGACATTTATCAAATTCTTGAATGTGGTGCCTGCTGTGATTTTATAGGGCATGATTACATTGCTAATTTTCCTATCAAATATGTTCTAATTTATGCATCCAACTGATTTTCTTCCCTCTCAAATAACTCACCTATGGAAAGAGAATAAATGTAATTTCCTTTATTTAAAACCTATCACTTATCTTTCAGAATTGTCAGTAGTCAAGTAAAAAGAATGTAAAAATTTTTCTCCTGTCTCATTACCCATATCTAAAGTCCGAAAAACAATCTCTAATGTAACCATTAATTTAATCATAGAGAATCATTTCAATTTCTATTAGAGTAGTTTCCACAAATTACAAAGTATATCAGATTATAAAGATTTCCCCACCAATCGATGCTCACAGCTACTATAAGGCCACTTTTAAAGTTACAGACAAAAGACAAAAGCATTCTCTCTCTTAAGGGACAAATACATAATTAAATATGATATCTGCCCTATATTTTCATCTCTTATTTTTAAGAAGCCATAATATCTAATAGCTACTACATACGCTAATTTTAAAAATACTTATTTTAAGGAAATGACAAGACAAAAAAAGCAAATTTCACTTAAAAAAATAGACACACAAAAAAATAAAGACACAATACTCTTTAAGAAATCTTTAACTCCAAGAAATTAATCCAGAACAGAATATATTTCCTATTTGTACTCATGTAGTAAACATTAAAACACATAACTTCCAACAACATACAACAGACTTGTTTTATTAATATCTAATTTAATACGTTTGTTTATTTGTATCTGTAGCATATATGATAATTCCATCTTAAAGAGGTTCAATAGGATTGAACATTTTCCTGCAATTACTGCTTTACGCCTATGAAGACTAACATCTGAACTTGTGACGGCTTCCTATCTTAAGACCAACTTAATCAGTGTTCTCTGAAGAAAAAAATTTCCATAAGTTATTAACTTGATTCCAACAAAATATGGTTTCGGCAAATGTGAAAAGAGAAAATCTTATTATTTCTTTGTTGATACGAGGAGAGAAATGTGCGTTTTTTGGTACTACTGTACACGAAGTGGATTTAAAGAATTCTGACCGGTAAAGTATTAAAAGATGTAATAAGCTGCCTCTTCATCAGGAAAACAAAAATGATTTCATTGTGTTTATCTTCTGAATTGACTAGTAACTCCAAGTGATTTTCAAATTGGGAGGCAAATTACTAGCATTAAGTTCATCAAATTTAGATCTGTCTTGAACAGGAACCTTATAGAAATCAAGAACATCTCTGACGCTGCACATCTGGTGAAGCCTGGAGTTAGGTACTGCATGGCCCAAGTCATCAGCTAAATGTGCCAAGAGACTGAACTTCATACGACAATCTTCTAGGGAGATATCTTGCCAATTACTGGGAAGAGATGAACCAAAAATTTCTTTAATATGAGATTCCAAACGACTCTGGAGATCTTCAGGTGGCATGTATGTTCGGCTTCGTAAAGGTGGACAAACCAGAACAGGTTCTTTTTTCATTTCTTCAATCTCAGCCACCACTGGTTCTTTCTCTTTTCTGGAATAATCAAAAACAAATATGTGAATCTTAGATTCACTAGATTAAGGAAGTGAAGAAACACTTGACTAAATCTTGCCTACTAATTAAAATCAACAAATAATTTGTACACTCAATACTTTATGATACTATGGAAAACAAAATAATACAGGTTCCTACCCTTGCAACATTTACAGTTGAATGAGTGAGCACAGACAGACAACCTTTAGTACATGTTTCACATATTCTAAATATTCCTAAGAATGGGTGAAGTAAGGTAAGTTCTGTCTGGGATTCCTACTCCTCCAAGATCTCACCTCAATCTACCCCTTAACATTACCTCCCATTAATTTCTATGCACTGCCGGCCTTACTCAAATTAAACTACATTTTACTGTCTAAATATACTCCCACTTTCCTGACACTATGTACTAGCTCGTTATATACTTTCTTATATGCTCATTTTTTATTTTTGCCTATAGAAATCTTACTCACCCTGAAAGATCTGGGACAAAATTTGTTTTCTTTCAAGAAACTTTAACCTGACTTCCCCAATCATATATAACTACATTCCTCAGATTTTCTCAGTGCTTTATAATGCTCTCAGAGTATATCACATCCTACTGAATTTTTAATTTTATTTATATCCAGTTTTACTTACAAGATCGGGGTTTGGGGCTGGGGATGCAGCTCAGTGGCACAGCATGCTATCTGACAAGCACAAGGCCGTGAGTTCAATCCCCAGTCATTAAAAAAAAAAGAGAGAGAAAAGAATCCTAAAAGGCCGGGCATGGGGGCGCACTTCTGTAATTGTAGCACTCACTGGGGAGGCTGAGCAGGAGGATCATTGTGAGTTCAAGACCAGCCTGGGCTACAAAGTGAGCTCAAGGCCAGCCTGAACTGCATAGCAAGACCCTGTCTCAAAAAGAAAAAGAAGACCAGGGTTTCCCCCAGCTTCAAATATATTTAGATTTTGGACTAGACAATTCTTTAGGAGGGGAGATCCTCTTCAGCATAAGATGTTTAGTATACCTGGCCTCTATCTACTGGATGACAGCAGCACTCCTGTCCCTAAGTCATGATATCCAAAAGACATTGCCAAATGTCCCCAGTAGACAAAAACTGTCTTGGTTGAGAACCACTGCACCAGATTATAAACTTCTTAGTACAGAAATCTGTTTTATTGATTGTGGTTCTTGAAAATATATTTAGTAACTGCTTGTACAAATATATGGGCCAATGGCAGGGAATCTGCCTACATACCATGTAAATCCTGAATTAAAGACCTGCTCAAATGAAAATCTAGAGAGACTTGTTTCCCAGGGAGTTAGCATCTGACCAGGACTGATGATCCCCACAGAAAATGGAGGCACCAGAAATGAAATGGTGTGTAGATGAGATAGGATTAAAATAAAAGATAAGTAAAAACGAGACAAGGAAATCCTACCTAACAATTATACTTTGTAAAAAGACTGTAACTTCCAGGACTTAGCCAAAGTTATCTAAGACAGCACTGTGCCATAGTCCTTGGCTAGCTTTATATCTCTTTTCTACCAGACCCATCACTAAAAGGCCATAAATTGGCTTAATTAAAAAAAATAAGGAATGGAAGCCTAGCCCTGAGACAAGGACTGCCTCAACATCAACAGTCCTTGGTCAGATTTATACTTGTTGTCTACCAGACCTACCAACAGAAGGCCATAATTGGCCCAATCAAGAAAGCACACAAAAGGCTGAGTGAATCCAGACAATGTTTAAATCACTTACTTTTTAAAAAATGCTTTAAAATGGGCTAGGGGGGCATTTTCCCCCTACCATTTCACTTCTCTAAAAAAAGTGTCAACGTACTCAGTTCTAAACTAGTGTCTCATTTCTGAGCACCTCACTCCCCTCTTGAGTGTATCCTATATTCTATCTTTGCCTAATAAACCCAACTCATGCCTCGTTCTGATGTGTCCTAAAAATTCCTTATTTGCAATGACAGTCAGTGAGCCCACTACAGAAAGACGGGTTAAATTTGAAAAAACTCTCTGACCCAGGCTGGTGACATGGCCAAGAATGCAGTTTTTAATGCAATGCCTCCTTGCCTACTTAAATGACGTTCTTCCAGAAATTAACGCCTCTTTCTACATCAACTGTTTACCAACTTTTCACTATTTACTTGCTATGATTTGGATGTGTCCCCCAAAAGTCCATGCCTTGGAACTTAATTCTTAAATTCATGCTATGCTATTTAGAGTTGAGATCTTTGGGAGCCAATCAGGATTAGATCAGGTCATGAGGGCTGGCATCTCATGAAGGCATTAGAGGAAGAGAAACTCAAGCTAGCATACTCACTAAGTGACACCCTCAGCCACGCCATAAGGCAACAAGGCCTTTATCAGAGGCAGAGCAGACAGTGCTATGCCCTTGGGATTTATCAGCTTCCAGAACTGTGAGCCAAATGAACATTTATTCATTATAAGTTACTCAGTCTTGGGTATTTTGTTATAGTAATAAGAAAAAGACTAAGTCACTACTGATTTAGGCACAGAGAGATATGCTATACTATCTCCTGTTTTTAAAGAAAAAAATTCACTCTAGATCCCATGTTTCCTCTAATTACTTACTATTCATCTTTTCAAAATTCGCAAGAGTTGTCTGTTTAGTTTCCACCTCCTCACCTTCCATGTTCCCCTCAAATTATTCCAATCATATCACATCACAGTCAAAATGCAATATAATTCATGTAAATTGACTTATTACTCAAACTGAAAGATTAAGGGTGATAAATGAATTAAAACACAAGATCTAAACAAAAAATGTCTAAAAGAAACCCATTTTAGGTTAAAGGACACATACAGGCTGAAAGTGAAAGAATGGAAAAAAGATATTCCATGCAAATGGAACCCCAAAGAAAGCAGGCGTAGTTATAACAGACAAAATAAACTTTTAAATAAAAATCTTTCAAGACAAACATCATCATTATATAATAATTAAATGGTCAATTTAAGAGTAAGATATAACTATAAATACATATGAATCCAACATGAGCACACCTAAGCATATACAACAAATACTGACAGACCTAAAAGGAAAAACTGACTGCAATACAGTAATCGGAGAATTCAATAACCCATTTTCAATAACAGAACATCCAGACAGAAAATCTACAAAGAAGCAGTGAACTTGAATAATACTACATACCAAATAGACCTAACAGGCACATACAGAACTTTCTGTTCAACAGCAAAAGAATATGCATTCTTCTCCAACACACACATTTTCTGGGATAAATTAAAGGTCACAAAAAAAGTTAATAAATTCAAAAAGATGAAAATCGTATCAACTATCTTCTCTGAACACAAAAGAATAAAACTAGAAATCAGTAAAACAGGAAACCAAGCAAACAAAAAACATTAATAAATATATGGAAACTAAGTAGCATACTCTTGAAAAATCACTGGGTCAAAGAAAAAATTAAAAAGTAACTTTAAATATTCCTGAGATAAATGAAAATGAAATATGAACAAAACTCATGAGATGCCTGAAAAGCAATATTAAGATGAATTTTATAGCACTACTATTTTAAAAAACAAGACATCTAACAACTTCTTATTAAGCTACAGGAACTAGGAAAAACACAAACTAAGCCCAAACTTAGTTTCAAAGAAGAAAGAAAGAAGAAGAAGAAAGAAAATAATAAAAATCAGAGCAAATATAAATCAAACAGACAACAAAAAACAGAAAAAAACAACAAAACACCAACAAAACTAAGAATTGGTTCATTGCAAACATAAATAAAAGCCAACAAGTCCTTAGATAAACTAAGGGGACAAAAAAGAAAGAAAAGAAGGGCTGGGGATTTAGCTCAGTGGCAAAGCGCCTGCCTGGCAAGTGCAAGGTCGTGAGTTTGATTCCTGGTACTGGAAGAAAAACATAAACAAAAACAAAAACAAAAAAAGAATAAAATAAAATCAGAAAGAGGCAATAATACAATAGATGTCTCACAAATATAAAATATCAAAATGGACCATTATAATAACTATATACCAACAAACTAGACAATCTAGAAAAAATGAATAAATTTGCAACCAACCAAGACTAATTCAAGAAATAGCCTAAATAGATCAGTAACAAATAAGATCAAAGTAGTAACCAAAAAAACTCCCCAAAGAGTATAAGGCTGACACCAGCCAGATAGTTTCATGAATTAATTCTACTAAACTTTCAAAGAAGAAATGGTACAAATCCTTCACAAATTCTTCCAAAAATTTGAAGGAGTACTTCCAAACTTATGACACCATATCAAAGCCAGATGAAGATATCACAAGAAAACTACAAGCCAATTATCTCTAATAGATAAAGATACACAAATCCTTAATAAAACCACGAATCAAATTCAAAGTCACAGCAAAACGACTTTACACTATGACCAACTAGGATTATTCCTGGAATGCAAAATCATTTTATATATGCAAATCAATGGATGAGCTATACCACGTTAACAAAATGAAAGTAGAAACCACATGATCACCTCAACAGATGCAGAAAAAGCATTTAACATAATTCAACACTAATTCAGGTATTAAAGGATCCTATCTTGACACAAGAACCAATTCTACTCAACAAAGTACTGTACTAGAAGTCCTACCCAGAGCTATTAGGGAAGAAAAAGAAATGAAAGTCATCAAACTCAGAATGAAAGAAGTAAAACTGCCTGTTTGCAGGTAGGATAATCCCATAAGCAGAAAACCTCAAAGACTCCACTAAAAAAACTGTTAAACTAAGAAATAAATGCAGTAAAACTGCAGGACTCAAAAATCAACATTAAAAAGTAGCATTTCTTTACACAAACAACAAACTATGCAAAAAGAAAACCAAAAGCCATAACAGCATCAAAATTAAAATACTTAAGAAATTTAATCAAATAAGTAAAACATCTGACTACAAAATACTAATGAAAAATTTGAAGACAACAAAAATAGGGGGAAAGATATCTGTATTTATGGACTGGAAACATTATTATTGTTAATATGTCTGCACTATCCAAGTAATCTACATATTTAATGAAATGGCCATCAAAATTCTAATAGCATTTTTCACAGAATTAAACAAAACAATCCTAAATTTTGGTTGGAACTACAAAAGACCAGGGATAGCTTGGGAAGTCTAGCAAAAACAAAGTTGAACATATCACACTTCCTGACTTAAAATTCTACTACAAAGTATATATAGTAATCAATACAGTATAGTACCATCATAAAAACAGGCACACAGAACAACATAACACCATTAAAAAACTGCACACATCTGGTCAACTAATTTTTGATGAGGGTACCAAAACTACAAAATAGGGAAAAGACAGTCTTAATAAACCATGTTGGGAAAACATATATATGAAGAAGAAAGAAATTCAATCTTTATCTCACATTAAATATAAAAATCAACTCAAAGTGCTCTAAAGATGCAAAGATAACGCCTGAAACCATAAAACTCCTATAAGAAATAGGAGTTGGTCTTGGCAATGATTTTTTTAGATATGACACAAGCAACAAAAACAAAAATAAATCTTCTGTACAGTAAAGGAAACAACTAATAAAATGAAATAACAACTTACACATTGGAAAAAAGTACTTGACTGTATATTAGATCAGATCCCATACCTAGTAATAGCTAAAGCATTTAAAGAACTCAAATAGCAAAAACAAAACCTTGTTTAAAAATGGACGAAGGGCTCAAATGGATACTTTTCCAAAGACAATATACACATGACTAAAAAGCAAAAGGTGCTCAACATCACTAATCATTATGGAAATATAAATCAAAACCACTGTAACATAGTACCTCATATCTAGTATACGATGAGCATAATTAGAGTGTTTAAGATGACATATAGAAAAAGTACTGTTTTCCTTAATAGCTGATACAGCTATTATGGGTGCTCCTTAAAAATTTCTTTGAAATAATACCATCACATAATCTAACACTCCTTATTTTAGGTATATATCCAATGGAAATGAAATCAGCATCTCAGAGATATTTGCATTTCCATGTTCACTGTAGTATCATTCACAATAGCCAAGATATGGAAATGCCCCAAAGTATACCTTGATGAAAAAAGAAATTTTAGTCATAATGAAATATTATTCAGCATTAAAATAAATAATCCTGTAATTTTCAACAATACAGATGAACACTACTTGAAATAAGCAGACCAAAAAAAAAAAAAACAAAAAACACCTGAATGATCTCATTTATATGAGGAAGCTTAAAAAGTCAAATAGAAGCAGAAAAGGACTTTTACAGTAGGGAGAAAGGGCAAAATTGGTTAAAGGTAAAGTTTCAATTATGTGAGCTAAGTTCTAGAGATCTAATGTTCCTCGTAGTGATTATCACTGATATCGTACTGATATCGTACTGATTATCAGTAATGGTTACAGTATTATACGCTTCACTAAAAGATATTTGAAGTGTCCCCATTTTAAAAAAGAATTAGGGCTGGGTGGGGTGATATGTGCCTGTAATCTCAGCTACTGGGAAGGTTGAGAAAGAAGGATCACAAGTTCCAGGCCAGCCTGGACAATTCACCAAGACCCTGTACCAAAATAAAATTTTAAAAATGAGCTGCAAATGTAGTTCAGTGGTAGATTGCTTGCCTAGCATAAGTAAGACCCTAGGTTATATCTCCAGTACAGAAAATATATATATATATATAATTTATTCCTTCTATTTGCCCTAGTTTTCTTTTTAATTTGTCACTTGAAAATATTCTACATTTGTTCAATTTTTCATCTGCTAGAACATATGCTTTATGAGGGCAAATTTTGATTTAATTAACCACTGTACCCTTAACACCTAGACTATTGCCTGAATATAGTAGACACTAAGAATATTGGTTAAGAGAATGAAGGAAACTGGGAGATTTGATAGATCATAACACTGAACAAAGAACAGAGGTAGTGTATTGCCTGAACTGATGACAAAAATCTTCCTGGACTGAGGGCAAATTTTTGAAACTTAAGAGGTCCTGTTACCTGTGGTTACCACCATAAGTTCTAATGCCCCAAACATTATGTAGGTCAAACAGATTTACCTTCAACAAATTCACGAAGCACAGTTTAAGTTAGTTTGTGGTTTTTCAAAAATACTTGCTTCTGTAGGTCTTTCTTCATACGTCAGAACACTTAAGGGCTGAGCAAGGACTTTGCTTGCACTACACGGTTAGAGAAACGCCAGACTAGGGCACGCGTCTAATAACTAATTGCTCAGTGAATTACTTAATCAACAAACAAACAAAACAGGAGGGTGCCCTCGTTTCTCAATCTGTTTGTGAAGAAACATGCCTTAAAAATGAGTTTAGTTTATCAACCACTTTGACGTGCACGTTGTAGGCTCATCCTTCCAAACCAGCATACTTGGTGCCTCGCACATGTGGTCAAACTGTTTGCGTAATAAACGAATGAGGTAAAAAGGAATGGCGATTGTATCTCCAAGACAAAACAGACGAAGAGGGAAACTGACTGGGCTTCACCCTTCGCGGAGACCGGCCCTGAACTTTTGAACTTGGAACTCTAATGCACCTTCTTGTCCTTACCAAGCTCGGAACCTCTCCCTTCACCCCTTCTAAGCTCACCCCTTCATCCTCCCCCAATTTCTTTCTACTTTTCCTGAACGCAACCCAAAATCTAACTTTCAGCTTTACCTGGATCGAGAACAAAACTTTCTACTTGCCGCCCCTAAAACCATCCTCGGCCAGCCTCTTCCTGCAAGGCCAGACAAACACAGCGCCGCCATATTCGAGAAAAGCCGGGCGCCAGAACTCTTCTCCGGTCCGCGGCGACGCGTCCAGACCAGCCAATCAGGTGCAAGCTTGTGGCCGCCAGTTTCCCCTTTTCCTGTTGTCGCCCCTTTTGCACGCTGGGAAATGTAGTCCAGCAGCTATTTCCGGCTGACTCTGGGCTGTGGTGCGCTCTCACAGCATGGTGGGAGTTGTAGTTGGGGGTGCGTCTCGGGAAGGTTCCGGGTGACGCCTTCTGGTTCGGGGGCGGGCGAACCTAGCGCTACTTGGCTGTGAGGAGGAGGAGGTAGTGGTAACCCGGAGGAGGCTCTGAGGCCTGAAAGACCGCGCGGCCCAGCAGGGGAGAAGGTTCGGGGTGGGGGTGCAGTCCGAGAGCGCATCTGATATGCCGCTGGGAACGTGACCGCTGTGGGACCAAGGCAGGACCTGGCTGGACGCAGCCAGGGAGCCTCATCTTCGTGGGGCCTAATTTCCTGCAGCCAGCTAGGCCTCACCAGCAAGACCTCCTTTCTTTGCGTCTCTCCAGTTCTCAGACTGGGAAATGGCCTCCCCGAGTTCCCCGCTGGAGCCAAAGGTGAGTTGCCGTTTCTGGGGATCCTCGTTATCTTCCCACTGTCCTGCCTAGGCTGCACCACCAGTGCTCCCCAAGCCCCTGGTTCCCCGCACTCTGCAAGGACCCCAGCACCATCTGGCGCCGGTGCTTTGGGGTGCGGTTTACTTACACCTTGCCCACTGGCTCCTTTTTTCAAGTGCACTTGGTAAAAATTAGGTATGTTACAGGCTAGCTCTTTCATTTGTGAGTTCTTCCAGGTAAAGCACCATTTTTACCTTTCCTTGTGGGTTCTGCTTCGGGCACTATGCCTAGACCCAAAGAAGATGCTTAGAGAACCTGATGGATGGAACTTAATAGGGTCACACGTCAGTGCGAATAGAGAACTGGAGCAGGGCAGTGAGGCCAGGAAACTTGGAGAGGCCTTGGGGCAGTTTACTAAAATTAAAATACTAATGTGTAATTACTAAACCAGAAAACCCTTATACTTTATGCCCTTCACATACAAGGCCAAGGCTCCAGCCCAGTTACTGTCTACTCTGAGGAGCCTGTTAATTCAGTTCCCAGAATTGGGCACCTTTTAGCACTCTTAGTTATGTACTATCTAGTGTATTTGGTCACAATGATTAATTGCTTCTGCAACTTTCAGTGCTGGAACTGTCCTTGAGACAAGGGGAACCTGACCACAGAAATCATACTATTTCAGGAGTTGCTGACATTTGAGGATGTGGCTGTGTTTTTTACCCAGGAGGAGTGGGATTATCTGGACCCAGCTCAGAGAAGTCTCTATAAGGATGTCATGATGGAGAATTATGGAAACCTGGTCTCATTGGGTAAGCATCTGTTCTTTTTACAAAATATCTAAGAAAGTATTAGAAATCACATTCAAAATGCTTGGACCAGTACCATTACCAGAACCGCTTTGTTCCAAAGTTCTGATCCTAACCTTTCAGCCACTAGTTGTTCCTATGATTATTTTATCCCGCACTTTTTTTGTAGTGACCAAAATGTAAATCTTTCTGGCTTCCTGTCTTCATAATCTTGTTCCCATATTGCTCTGTACTTTCTCTCTTTGTTCATCCTCCTACTGCTTTCCTCCCACCCTTTTACTCAGCCTTCTGGAGCCCCTGTTCCTCTTCACACAGTGTTCCTTACCCTCCTGGCCTTAACTAAAACCTGGCACTTTCCCAGTAACACCACTCTTCTGGCTGTCCTTCAAGTGGGGGTTGCTTATTCTCCCACATCCTCCTCTTTCCTGATCCTTTTTCTCAAGGCTGGAAGGGAGAAATTACTATTCTTTTTCAGTTTTTCAGTGCTGTTTCCAAAGATTAGTTTTTAACCTTCAGACAAAGTCTCTCCTTTGAGGCTTGAGTATTCAATTCATTTTTACCCTTGTCAACTTTTTCTTGGGTCCTTCACACGTAAGCTTATCACTCATTTCACAGACTTCTCTGCTTAATCCGTGTAGCCCTGTTAGTACTTGAACCTCTGGATATTGACCATTTTGACTTCAGAGATCCTGTTTTCCATGTTTATTCAGTTACTTTTATCCTTGATCTTATCTCTCCAACACCTTGCCATCTAAACCGATTCTTTGTTCATGTATTTCTTGTCCCTTGTTGTGTTTTTCTCTTCAGGATGCCAATCTTCTCCTGACTTCACCTCCTCATGTAATTACCAGCCTGGTTTCGTGCCTTGACATTATCCTATAACCATTCTGCAAACTTAAAATCCTGTATTAGTTATAATCTCTGCCGTTTTTACTCTCCTACCTGAGTTGTTAAGCACAGCAGGAAAAAAATTCCTTTTAACCAAAAACATTGATGCCCTGTATGTGCATGGCTTTTTAAAATTCTAATCCCCTTTGGACTTGGATTTGTATCTCAACAGTTGTTGTTTTTTTTTTTTTTTTTGGTTTGTTTGTTTTTTGTCCTTGATGTGTTTATTCTCCTGTTGCTTTTAGTGACTGTTTCACAAACTTAGAATTTTCTGTTACTCTGTGGACCTCACCTTCTGTTCATAACAAAGAGAAGCCACTAAGCATGAAATCTCAACTTCTCTGCACCTCATCGTCACAGTCACAGCTGGTACTATTTTTTCTTTTCTCCTGAAACTTAATCAGTGATCTTTTTTTGCCTAGTGGCTTCAATCTGTGTTTCTTCTCTCTTAATATCTTTATTCTGCTGATATGTTCATGGCTTTTCCAATAGGAGAAAAAGAAAAAAAACGCCCTCTTTAGAGCCAGTCTGTCTTGCTGCTCTCTATAACTTGCTATTTGTTCTCTTCACAGCCAAATTTTTGTTAGAGTGGTTAATATATATTCTGTGCTACTTTACCTTGCATTATTTCTCTGCCCTTTGTTTTGCCTGCAACACTGCCCCTTAAGTTGTTCAGCTGTGATTTATAGTAACCTCATTGTCAAGTACGTAAGACTCTTTTTGGACTTTATTTTAGTCAGCTGTTTTATTTGAAACTATTGCTTCTTTTCCACTGGCTTGCATTCTCAACTTCCTCTCAGTCTATACCTTTTGCTTACAGGAACCTTATCTACACTCAGTTCATCAGTTACCACTAGGTACCAAATCTATCTCAATCTAGGAAATTTTAAGAAATCTGCTTAGGTTCAAATCCTGTTTTCACTGCTTATTAACTTTGTGTGTGAGTTACTTTATCTCTGTCCCTCAGTTTCTTCTTTTTTGTTAAATGAGAAGAATAATAATACATGTCCTTAAGGTTTTTGTAAGTATTAATTGAATTAATAGTATGTAAAGCCCTTAGAGCATTGACTATGTAGTAAGCATAAGTATTAAGTATTGACTGCTATCCTTCTCTCTGTTGAGCTACAAATTCTAAAGATGAATAAATTCTTAGTCATGTTCTTTTGAAGACCATATAAATAACTCATACCAGAAAACTCCAAAAAATTTGTTGAGATCTCAGGGGGCTTCTTTTCAGAGTTAAATACTCCTTTTTCTGTACTACCTTGTATATATAGTATTTCCATAGTTCATCACAATTCAGTATTCTGTATGTGTTCTTTCCTTAACCACTCTGATCAATATGAGGGCAACTGTATCTTTTGCATTTGATTTCTCCCACATTTATCACAGAATTGGACTTTTATCGTTTGCTTAAATAGTTGTGAGACTGAATAAATATTTAAGACTCAATCCTAAACTAGCCTCTGGTCACTCTTTATCCTTTCTTTTAATTTATTCCGTGAGCTATCACCAAAGTGCTTAAAATTTGTAACAGTTCGTAAGAGCTTAAAGACAAAAACCTTAATTTCTTATGGGATGATTTCCTAAATATAGCTTCTGCTTGCTTTCTGTCTCTGATTTCTTGAATGCCACTTTAATCTTTTCTATCAATTGCTGCTTTTCGTTTTTCCAAATTTCCCATTGTGTCTCCATACATATGGTATCCTGATAGACAGAACCAGGCAAACACTTAACTCTGCCTGTCCCTGGTACTGCAGTATATGAATACTGTATGGATAAAGGGATGGCAGGGGTCCCTCTGTCTTCTTATACTTTCAGGCTTTCTCTCTTTTTTTTCCAATGCAAGGTTTCCATCACTATTTTTTCCTTTCCTAGTCTTTTCATTCCCTTCAGTAGACCCCTCTCCACCACTGTGGTGAGCACCCCTTTAAACAGGTCAGTATTACTGTACTGATCCAGTGCGTTATTCTTCTATTTCTCCTTACTATTTTTTATAAGAAAATTATCTTCATCTTTCAAATTCTAGGTCTTCATTCATATATTTCCTTTCCATGTTGTTTTTTCTCTAAAGAAACCCAAACTATAAATAAAGATGAAAATGAAAGGTAACATAGTAGGAAGTAAGGAGATAGATTTTTCTCAAAGGGGAAGAAGATCAAGTGATGGGGAGGATGAAAAAAAGGAATTAAAATGTGTATGTTCATGAACCAACTCCACACAAGTAATGTAAGTGTTCTGCAGACGTGCAAAAAGGAGAGGAGGATCAAGATGGATGGAGGAGAGAGGGAGGGAAGGGAAAAGGGATGAAGAAAGACGTTAAAATATATTGTGTGCATGTACTAACTCCTTACAAGGAATGTAAACATTATGTACATGTACTGATAAAAATAATGACCTGAAAAGGTGTAATAGCTGCATGATATAATTGATTACTTGACTCTGAGGTTTTTTTATTTTAATTTCAGTGACTCTAGCCTCCTTGCATAGTCACATTAGAATTTGACAGAAATGGGAATTGCTGAGCCTGCAAGACCTTGAACTGATTATTTTCCTTCATTGATTATACTCTTTCCAATTATTTGTTACACTAGTAATTCAGTTAGTAATTATCAAGTACTGTGCTAGACCTTAGAAATTCCACTTCCATAGCAGGAACACCATTCATTTTATATTCTGTTAGGTAGTAAGGTTGGCATATGGGACCCATGAGCCAAATCCAGCCCACAGCTTGTTTTTGTAAATCAGATTTTATTGAAACATAGACATGCCCTTTCCTTGATGCATTGTTTATGATTACTTTCATGCTATATCAGCAGGGACTTTATAACTTAAAAAGTGAAGAATATTTATTGTCTGGTCCTTTACAAAAAAAGTATGCCAATTCTTGCTCTCTCCTACAGTTCATCCAATTCCATGTTCATCTCCTTACCTTTTTTATTCTCCCCTCATCTAACATATTATTACAACTGTTTAAAAAGTATTCAGCTAGCATAAGCCAACAAGGGAATTACTATAAGGACATAGTTTATGGACTATATAAGCATGATTGTAGCTGAACATTAGAAAAAACTAAAACCAGAAATTGAACCAATCTCAAGAAGTCAGGAATTATTCTGCATTAGACACCTTAGGCATCTATAATACAATAGCATAACCTGGGTTGGTGACTCAAATGAGACATTTATGTCTCACAGTTCTGGAGGCTGGAAAGTATGTGCTCAAGGTTCTGGCAGACTCAGTTACTGGTGAGGATTTTCTTTATAACTTACTCACCGTGTTGTCCCATGGCTTTCTCACTGTGTTGTCCCATGGTTGAGAGAGGAGTAGAGAAGGGCAAAGATCATACTTACCTTTGTTCTTTCAAGAACACTGTAGTCCCATCATGAGACCCCAACCTCATGATCTCGTCTAAACCTGGTACCTACCAAAGGTCCCATCTCCAGGTACCATCACATTGGGGCTTAGGTCTTCAACATGTTTTCAGGGAAAACACAACATTAGTCTATAACATTCTCTTTTTGTTTCTTTCCCACAGCAAGCTAGTTTTTCCTCCTTATGCCCACATGCTTGTGTCATTTTAACTTCTTAGTTGATAGGTTACAAGGCTAGCCATGTTTAGATTAACTAGCTATTTAAATTTCATTTTCCAAATTCCTAAAGAGTGACCCATTTTGAGCTAGTAGGTAAATTAGCTGTGGCCAGATCATGGGATTATATAATTATGACATGTAATTACCAAGCTCAGATCTAATAGTCATTTCAAGGCTGCTCTGTGTAGAAACCTACACTCATTTGCTTCATCTGCCTATCCTTTTGACATAGGCATTTTTATGCCAATGTCATTGTTTAATTTACTTTAACAAAATACTATGTTTTATGGGTTATGCTTGAATATTCTTTTTCAGGATTTGCTAACCAATTGTCTATATTCCTGTTTAAATTTATATTTCTTGGGTTTTTAATTGGTTCATATAATTTTTAATAGAATGTTAGTCATTTCATAGATTAGCTTGAAAACAATGCATAATACTAAATTTCTTTAACCACTTGGTTAATTCTGTTTAGCTCTCCTTTGTCTTTCAAAAATTTTTTTGATTACTTCCTTCATTCTTACTGACTTATTTTTTGAGATGGGGTATTCTTTATTGCCCAGGCTAACCTCAGACTCCTGGGCTCAAGTAATGCTGAAGTGATCCTTCCTGCCTCTACTTCCTGAGTAGCTGGGATTACAGGCATGTACCACCATGCTCCACTGGATCTACACATTTCTTGTTGTGGTTATTCTTTATTCCTAGATTTTACATCTTTTGTTAGTATTACGAAGAGTGTACTTTTGTTTTTATAATATTTGCTAACTGGTTTTCTTGGTAGTAAGAACTAGTTTCTTAATATGCTATATTTTCATTTGATTCAGGAAATTAGGTAGGCATTCATGTTGTTTTATTTCTTAGAGTTAAATCTCCAGAACAGTAACTGCTGGATAAGTATAAAGACTTTCTTTTCATGAGGAATTTACATCCAAAGGAAGAGCCAAACATAACAAATACTTAAAGTACACTATAATAATGGTTATTATACTGTCTGTAACTGAAGTTACAGACAATAATGTAAAACTGGTAATAAAAATAGAACAACTAAACTTGCATGGTGGACTTAGCAGAGACTTTATAGAATAACTATTGCTTTGCTTAATTTTAAAGAATCAAGAGTTTGCCCAGTAAACAATGCAAAGGGACACTTAATAAAAGAGATGTGCAAAAATATAGAATGAAAATGTTGTAATACAAGCAACTTAGCTACATGAAATATGATAGAGTAAGCAAGAAGTTGAGTTTAAGCTTAGACCATGTTGTACAGAGTTCTGATTGTGATAATGAGCTTTCACTTGATTTTAAAGCTGAATCTTCAGGTGGTGACGTGAATACAGTTCCAGTTTTGAAACATCCCTCTGGAATCACTAATGCAAATACAATCTCAAAGCAGCTTAAAGACCAAGTCCAAGGATAGTTAGATCATGATTGTGATGTTTAAAAGGAGAAAGTAGAGTCTAGAAAAGAATCATGATGTTTAACTTCATGATTGTGATGTTCAAAAGGGAAAAGTAGATTCTAGAAAAGAATCTATTATTTCGGTGACTAACAAGAAAAAGGGGAAAATCTAATACTTAGGGTAATGGATAGTTGTGCCTCTCAAGAAATAAGTAGCAGGGGCTGGGGATTTAGCTCAGCGGCAAAGCGCCTGCCTGGCAAGCGCAAGGTCGTGAGTTC